CATCTAGTTCCAACCCTCCTGCCATGGGCAGGGATGTGTTTTCTCCCAAACCACAGCTTTGAGCCTGGATACAGGACTCAAAAGAAGAAAAAAATAAGTTACAAGTGGCTGCTTATTCCAAATTTTGGAGTTTCATAGAATCATTTAGATTGGAAAAGGCCTCTAAGATCATTGAGTCCAACCATTAACCCAACACTGCCAAGGCCACCCCTAAACCAGAGTATCCCAGAATGGTTTGGGTTTGAAGGGACCTTAAAAATCATCTAGATCCAACCCTCTGCCATGGGCAGGGACACCTCCCACTGGATTAGGTTGTTCAACAACCCATCCAGGGGTGGAGCACCTACAATTTCCCTGGGCAATCTATGCCTCAGCAGCAGCTCAGGTGTTTCCTAGGACCTAAGACTGTCAGCAGAAGAACTGACAGCACATCCTTGCATTGCTTCCCTTCACCTCACAGCAGAGCTGGCTGCTAGGTTGTCCCCAAGCTTTCCATCAGCCCTTCCCTGCTGCAGCAGTCCCCAGTATCCCTCTCCTGCCTCTCCTCCTTCCTCCAGTGGTCTGGATTGCACAGCCTAACGATGTGATGGCTGGAATTGCCTGTCTGCAGCACATGGATTCCTTACAGGCTTTTCATATGCTAAACCGGTTATTAATGAGTGCAGCCCCAACCCAGAGACAAACAACAGCCATGACAAAAAGAGCTTTTGGAAGGCAATTAGCTCCATGGTAAGCTGCCTCAATCATGGGCTGTGCTGGAGAATTTCAGACTGGAGAGGAAGCTCTGGCAACTTGTTTTTTCTCTCTCTTTTGATGAGTTAATGACTTGCTGAGTGGCAGCAGGCACAGTCACCCTTGGGAAGCAGCTCCACTAAGGAGCCTTTCCAGGTTGGTGCTGTTGTAAAGAGCATTTACCCCTGGATAAACATAGCATGAACATACAAGATGTATTGCCAGGTCACTGTGATGTGTTCCCAGGTCACTGTTGAATTGCTTTGCTTGGGAAAACA